TCAAAGCCATGTTGACAGATTTTCCATTAACACATGCGTCACATATTGAGTAAGCAACAAAATAAAAAGGTTCGGATTAAGTAAAAGCAATTAGATATCACAAGAATGCTGAGTTGTGGGCAAAACTTTCGCCCCAGCCGGGATTCGTACCCGGATCTCTTGCTTTCCGGGCAATTGTGCTACCAGTTACCAGTTATAGAAATTAGACATTAGAAATTTTTAAGGGGAATAATCAAAGAATTAGTTCGACTTCCGTTTCGCACGTGCCCTTAGACGGAAGCCAAACTGGAAAAAATACCCTCCCTCCGTGCTCTTCAGTAAGGAAGGGAGGAAAAAGCGTTGAATGAGTATAATATAAAGCATACGTATAGTATATTGTTGTATATAAAGCAATATTGTCTTCTCAACTACGATCTTGAAGTAACGTTTTGATACTTGGAGTCATTTTATCCAGTGGTTCAGAAACTGATCCTTTTGTGGACTAGGTCGAAACAAGGATTTAAAATGGGACGCTGTCAAGGAATGAGGCTAATATTGTACTTGACTTTTATTAAGGTTAAGCCAGTACTAGGGTTCTTGTCAATACACAGTTGAGAATTGTTTGAGTTCCATTAAACACACTCCAACAGCTTGGTTATTGAGTTTTATGGTACTATATAATGTAAAAAAAACTCCCAAAAAGCAGAAAAAAGCAATAGTAGTGTAGTGGCAAGAAGTGCCGCTCACCACCATCGGGGCCGTGGGATCAATCCTGGAAATGCGCCGTTTAGGACGACGAAGCCGCACACTCTACGAGTCGGTGAACTGAAGCCAGACTTGTTAGGGTAAGAGCACCGATTTGTACGTCGGCTGCCTCCCGTCGAAGCTTATTGTGAAGGGCAGACTGCGCTCAAAAGGCCACTACTTTTCTGAATAGTATCAGAGTGACTGGCACATCCTAAAATGGAGTTGATCAACGCCGAATGCTCTGTCCTTTTATTCAAAAATAGAGTATACTTTCGAAAGAAGGTCCCCCGTCGAGTTAGGATTTGGACAGTGGCGGATCACTGATGAGAGCAACGTTCTTCAAACAATATATGTTTTATAAGTATTATTCTTCTGTCGTGGCACAGATACCCTCAGATAGCTGCACCACACAAGCTAAGGCAGATCTACACCTGACATGGTGCTAAGCACCGAAATGCTGTGGGAACCTTCCAAGAAATATTTTGAGCTCTTTCATTCTCTGAATTTCTTTCGGAATAAATGTTCATTCTGCCTCGTGATGGTGATAAAACGGCATTTAACTTAATACGTGTGCGAAGCGAGCGAGTGAGCGCGGTGAGTTAGAGCGCAGAGCAGGAAATCTCTCAGCTTGTGGGCACAGTTTCCTGCTCATTCAGCACACAGCGTCACGCAGATGCTCTTCGTACCTAGTAACATATTCACAGGTACCAATTGTTGGCCTACCCAGTGTGATGGCGCAGTAGCGAAAAACAGGCAGGACAATAATGAAATAAAATAAACTATATAACGATCGGTTGAACAGAGCTCTGAAGTTTTTTCCTTCAACGTGAGATGAGGACGGCTCAAACGCTATGCTAGAAGCTGTGCAAATTAGATAGTAAGAAAAGTCCATTTTTGGGCGTCCCTTTCTACAGCTTCATTCCCCCCCCCCATGCGTGAGTTCGCGCGCACGTCGAAACTGCCAATATACAATAATTACAATAATTACAATACAATAATTTCGCTAACCAATCGCCTTGCCCAGGCCTTGAGCGGGAGGGTGAGCCAACTCGCAGGTTAACACTGCACTGCCAAAATTTTAACCGATTGAAGTGGTTAAGCTTGACATTAGAGCACTCGCTGAATAATGCATTCTTTGTTTCGCGCGCGGATTCCATGTTGGCGTCCTGTTTGTAACTCGTTGAGGCTTACCAATGGCAGCAAAAAACCCGGATTTGGTCGTGTGGGAGAATTTATTCTGTGCACATATTAGAAGTGCTGGTAATGGCGCTAGGGCCCTACAAAATGAGCTAATGGACGAGATATCTCGCGCTCACGTCTAGCACGCAACGTGGACTTCGACGAGATTAGATAGCTGATAGGGAGATGAGAGCTAATTGCGTTGCTGGGACCGGTTGTGTTCAAACAACTCCACTCGTCTACATGGTCTTTCCTCACCATCATTAGCAAGCGCTGTTACCCCACCAATAATCCGAACTTGCGATGCCTTGTATTACATAGGGGAAAATAACATAGCAGTTCATGAACCACCTGAAAATTCCTGAAGTAATAATCGCTTTTCAGCCCTCAAATGAAACGCCGACTTCGACCGACAGCTATGAAATTGCTAGAATGTTATTGCTTCAAGCCAGTTGGCGACTTTGCGGATCACTCTTAGCGATTACTAAGAACAGCAGGAACAGCAGATCTCAACGTCAGTTTACAAAGAAAATCGAGTGAAATTCCAACTTCAATGCAGCATTGAAGTGCTAGAAATGGTTCTGCTGTTTCATTCGACAGTACGAAGCCCCAACAGCTCAGCTGGAAGTCATAACTAACAATTTTTGTTGACATCCTGTGGTTTTTATCTTACTAATTCTAGAAGAAGGCCTCATTTCATTTTTACTTTTTGCAGGGCAGGACCGGCAGGAAATCTCTGTGTAGGAAATCTCTGTGGAAATCTCTATGTCCATACCTCTACGAAGTTACTTATATCGGTGTTATCACGGGTGCAATTTGGGAATTTTCGAAGGATCTCTGTTACCGAAGGACTTCGGGGTGCTTTCATATGAACAGAAGTATATGTACATATTATGTGAATACGGATTCAAATAAAAGAGTATTTTTGCACGAGTCACATCCGTATCGACTCTGTTGTTTTCGACCTCTGAGCTATTCGCAAAATGCGAGAGCGATCGCGTATTCTTCTGATTTATTTATTTATTTATTTTCTGGACGCAGTGAGACTGCGTGATATTCAACAGTGCCACAAAAAGAAAAGCCAAAACCACGGAAAGCACCGACTGGTGACGAGAACTCATAAAGATACACAAAAAGCAACATAATGTAAATAGCTATGCCGGGCTGATCGCCCATTCACCTATTCGTTGAAAGATAGGATAAAGCATTCGGCTTCGATCAATCATTTTTCGAGATGCGCCACTCGTGTAACTTGCACACAGATCATAGTGGCAATTTGTTGTTGGTTTGGCCTACTCAATGACTTACGGGGCCGGCTGATGTACAAACCAGTGTTTTATACCTGTAGACAGGTATTGTGAAATCCATTAACCCGATTTAAACGGAGTGCAAGGCTTGGACGGCCTGGACGGCGTTCGGTCCAGTATAGGATCACCACACTAAGCGCGTGAAAAGAAGCGCCACCTAACACTACACCTTTTCCACCCTAAACCTCTTAGATTTTGTATTTAATATCCTCCACTCTCAACACTACGCCCTGTTAATTGTTTTTATCTATTCATTTGTCTTTTATTGTCATTTATTTATTTGTTTACTTATTTACTTGATGCGTGCTTCTCCCGAAATCTGTGGACAGAATTGCGCGCTCAAAAATTCAAGCATACAATGTAAATCACCTCAACACCTAGGGGGATGAAACCACTAGAGCCAGTTCAAGGAGGATTTCATGATAATTTCGGATATTGAACAAAGGGGAATATGCGGTCAAAAGCAGGCTTACTGGTGCACGACGATACGCGTTCCGCATGTGAAGAGTAAAGCCAGCGTTAGCAAGGCCACACCTGCTTCACTCGCCCGCGCTACAGGCCGCCGATATGTGCACCTCCGCTTGCGACTATAACTTAGCGTTAAAAGAGAGATATACGTGTGTTGAAGAGGGCAGCAATCATCGAGAGTTTGCGATCACATGCAAATTATGGGGTTTCCATATTCCGGTACCAGGCCTGTTGCTCATGGCTTTTCCTTCATTCCAACCATCACTGACCTCCTCTACCTTGGTTCTAATCTTCCTTATGGCTTGTCCTCTGATCGTGCAGTGCGCTTCAAAGGGGAGTAAAAAGAACAGAAGAGAGTTTAAATTGGGAGGGAAACATTGTGTCTAGAACAAAGTTGTTTTTGCTGTCCACTGCTTCTATCAAATGTTATTTCGAAGGTCTGTATAATATTAAAGCAAAAGCACGTCACTATCCTCAAATGCAGCGATCACGATAGATCTCGGTGTGGTTTAGAGGAGACGTAGGGGTCTCAATAGTGCGCTAATGGCGTGAAGAAAAGCGTAAGAAATCCGCAAAATGGTACCCCTTTGATTGCCCTTTCATTTTCGACCATGGATGAGCGACGGTAAAGAATGACGTTGTTCGGACGTGTTAACCCCGATAGCCGCCATCATGCCAACAAGCATAGTGTTTTGATTGATAAGGCATTACATGGGCAAGTTGGAAGATACAGCCGATAAAAGGGAAACGATCTCCAAAATGAAAAGCCAACAGCAGACAGCTCGCCCAAGTCATCATCTGAACAAGTGGGCGTAACGTCTGCTGGGGGCGGAGTGCTGCGGAGGTCCTGCTCAGCAACCGGCCACCCTTTTCGGCATTGGAAGCGCGCACATTTCACTTCTTAGCAGTCAAGAACTCTCTTAGTGCTAGCCACATATACTCGCCAATGCGGCCTTTTTCTTATCCCCATAGTCGCCTTCCATTACCCACCTCAATGAGGAAAATACAAAATTGTCTCTCGAAAATACAGACCGCTTGCAAATATTTGTGCTATTTCATAATCCCATTACTCCTGCTTGTCGGGGATTTACCGGCAAGAGAAACTGCTTTCAATCTGTTTCCTCTATTTAACAAAGGCGTGAAACCTAGGGTTATGACGGATTCTCCAAGCCACAAGTCTTTGTCCTTACCTTCTACAGCTGCAAACCCACCTACAATTTCTAGTTAAAGCTAAGAACGCGGCGCATCCAAAAAGACTGTGGAGCTGAGTTTGTACTTTTGCGTTTCTTCGTTATTGTCCACTACAACACAAAACATTGTGCTCTTTCCGGCTCTGAAGCCCTTTTCCTTTTTGTCGATGCCATCAGATAACCATGAAACCAAATGCTTTATTTGATTAGCATGCAAGACCAGCCTTTCCATAAGATCCGAATGATCCGAACGATCCAGTTTCTGGGAACGCCCGGGGTACCTTGATCGGGATAGTTACCGGCACTGAAATAACGACCATTAGCAAATGCCTATTGTTTAAATGATTAACATATACAACCATGAAGTGCGAAGTCAATTCGTTGAGCTTCAGGGGGGTGTTGTTGGATGACACTGTCGTGGTCGATTCACTGTCGAGCCAAGCTGGATAGCCACGTGAAATCGTTGGGAGGTTCAGTGGTGCATAGTTGGTCGGCAGAAGGACGGTGTAGAAGTGGGTGGCTGAAGAAGCGGCCAGCGTTTAAGAATGCAAGGTGTTAGCGTCACTTATTTATGGGATGAGTGAGCAAATGAGTTGTTGGATCAATTGACATTGGAACATGGGAAGACGGAACGTGGGCTAAGAAGCTTCTCACAATAACGCGCCAGCTTGCCCTTCCAGTCTTCCACTGTTGGTTGCTACCACACATTGCCCGGAAAGCTTATGCTTATGGGTTTCAATTAATGCCGTATTTACTCTAAAACATTTTGATCTACTAGCTTGAAAATCGAATGTGATACGGAACCTCAAAGGGTGATCCAACCTCTACTGCAAACATTCACCCATAGAACTCAGTGTACGCCACGATTTCTACATGGCAGCTAGTGATGGATTGGTCTGTAAATGTGGCATTGATAGTGATCCCCTCGCTATCCTGAATCAGATTCAAATTCATGATGCAACCCATAGAGATTGCCTTACATGAAACATCTACTCCATAAAGAAGGTAATCTAACGAGTTCCGTACCACACCCATACTTGGCTGTCTCATACCATCACTTAATAGAGCTAGTGGAGTTAGCGCAGAATAAAGTGGGGCACTGCTAAATGCTGCTGCTGTAGTAGACAGACGGTACCCGAAGCAATTAGGCCACTACTCCAGTGGGCAGAAGATCTAGCTCCAGAATTTTTAAAACGTTTCGGACACTGGTGGGTGCGACATCACAGTGAAGAAGAATACAGGATCTATCAAAGGCACGTCGCCGCATCTCCTCACTTTGTTTCCCAATTCTAGTGGTTCAACTTAAAGTTTTCGTTACCTAATATTTGCTATAGGTCAGGTGTAGGAAATATAGCTTCTACTTCTAATAAAAAGCAGTAAAAGTAGCGTGTTAAGTGAAACTTTCTCATAGGAGACGTACCTTTTGGCACTCGTAGAAGTCGTTAGCGCACATGATGGTTCTTGATGGAGGACTGGAAGAGTCGATCGAATGAAAACCTCGACTGCCCTCTGGCTTTTATACAAGAACAAATGCTGACCGTGCAGCAACTGATTAGGGGAACGATGAAATGGAGAAAGCTCGTGCTTATCGTGACCCCCGCTCGGAAATACGGCGACGAAATAAACAGCTCCAAAACTTGTGGGCCGCCAAGGCCTCTCACTATGCCATTTTGCAAAATCATGCATATGTGGTATTGGATAGGGCAATATGATGTCTAGAGAAAAACCTCGTTCATTATAATTGCGTCTAACACACGACTCACCAGGAAAGTATTCCAGGATGTGGAGTGCTTTTTAGAACGCTTATATGTCACAGAGACATGCGCGTGGAGCATGAAACTGAGGATCACTTTCTTCTGAGCGGCCTCGAGAATGGCAAAATCTCCGCTTGAGAAGCAAATTTGAGTTCCACTTTTGGGGTCGCTGCCTTAACTTTACTCACTGAGAACTTTCTATAGATACTATGCAACTCCATCGTAATGAATGCTGCGGACATAAGAGCATACTGAAGTGTCGATTCACTCTTGAGTAGGTTTGTCCCTTTTTTGGATAAGTCTCAATGCGCCCACTCAGAGAAATAATATAGTAGCAGTCGAAGAAGTTTTCACGTTCTGAACAATATGCTAGTCTCGCCTTACTCGGCCACAAAAATCCGTACTTCTCTATTGCGCGCAATTAGAAGGTGGGCTTGAGGTGATGGTTAGAGGTGATTGGCGCTGCTTATCCAACGTTAGGAGTTGAATCGGTGGTCGAACTCAGGACTGTATTGGCCAACTGAACTTTCCACATTTTCCTATTGTTTGATTGGGACAGGCTTGTCTCGAAGCAGCTGGACCACATTCTATTTGTGGGCGAGTAGCAGTCCTACCAATGAATTTATCCAGCGTGAATAAGCTTCCGTGACTATCGCTCATGGTATAAACACGTGGACCTGAAAGGAAGTGCTAACGTGTCAGCAAAAACAATACTATTATACTTTCAAATGCACGACACGCGGAGCAAAACCTGCTTACTCACCTCGTACCAAGCGGGAGGTTTAAAAGAGGTGGACGACTAGTAATGGGGTGGTGAAAATATTTCATTCGGGGTAGTGGACTTTTGCAGATTGTAACAGCTCCACCCGCGGCGATCAAGTTGTGGGTGACTTCTCACGCGCAACTTCGGGCCGTCAAATTTAAATATGCGCAATCTAACCCTGCCTCCATAAGTGATCGTGAAGACGCAGTCAAAATAGGCACCACGATCCTGGATAGAAATCGAATTCGTGGCGCATTTCAGA